TTGCTTCCCCCTCTTTTGCTCTTGCTGCTTTTGCTGTCTTTCACCACATGAACTGTTGCCCTCTGCCATAGGCCACTCTGCCTTGGAGCCAGCCGAGTATGGACTGAAACTCCACAAACTGTAAGCTAAATAAACCTTTCCTTCCTTAATTCTGGGCCTCGAGTATTTTGTCTCAGCAACGAGAGAAAAGTAACCAAGACAGAAGGAGAATGGAAAATCATCATCATTTTATAATTCCAAAGAATTTACACAGGAAAGAAAAACCATTTGATATCATAAATATAGACAATTGGTTTAAAAAACTGGTAATCTTATAATTCATATATTCTCAGAATACAAATTAATGATTAAATAATTCAATTATTTGACAGGTAAATATTGGGCTCACTCTCAAATTGAATCACATAGATTAAATTCAGCACTGATACCCAGACATGGTCATTGGTAGGAAGAGGATCCTACACAGGGTCACATCTTCTGAACAGCCTAAGTGTGACATCACATCCAAGGTTCAACAGCAGACCTCAATCTCATTCATAAAAAGAGAATGAGGGGGCTGGGGATTTAGCTCAGCGGAGCAGCACCTGCCCAGCAAGTGCAAGGTAGTGAGTTTGATTCCTGGTACCAGAAAAAAAAGAGAGAGAGAGAGAGAGAAATGAGATTTAAAACTATACCATTTTAACTATTCTAGTTTTAAAATTTAAAATCATATTAAATTTATGTTCTTTATTTATGATGTATATTGCCCAGGTCCTGGGGGAATAGGCACATTCATATGTTGTAAAGACTGCCTTTATGGAAGGTAATTTTTCTATATCTATTAAAATTACAACTGCATATATACCTTTGACTCTTCTGTTTTACTTCTGAGAGTTTATCCTGTGTGTATTCTTGCACTCACATACAAAAATAATGTCCATATTTTTTTCACTTCTGATTGTTTACAGGAGTGAAAGAATAGAAGCCAAATGTCTGTCTAGAAGGGAATGGTTAAATAAATTACTATAGTTCATGCAGGTGAAAGAATATTCATGGCTCTGAGAAAGAATAAGCAAGCTCCCTGTGTATTATTATGGAAAATCTCCCACAAAAAATTGTCAGTGAAAGAGCAATGTGTTATACCTCCCATATGGTACCCCCCTTTCCATGTACAAAAGAGAAGAAATTAGGGTATTAGTATTTGTCTATCTGTAAGCTTTTTAAATTCTATAGTGGCATATGAGAAACTGACAACAGTGTATAAATGTGGCTGGGAGATGACAGAAATTGAATAAGAATGGGATGCAGGGTTTTCATCAAGGAATTGTATATTTCCTTTACATTTTAGTATATGTGCTGCTGAAGTGAGGGAAAAAATTATCTCTAACTTCTTTTAAAGGAGATTTGGAGATGGCTGGAAGAGACAAACTGATCAACTTTAATGTACTTCAGAAGCATTTGTGTCAATGTGCTTTATGGGGCAGCACCACAGGTAGTTCTAAGCAGGCAAGTGGCCAAGAGTAAACAGGTGCTCTGGAGAGCCCAAAGGGTGCCACAAAGAGAAGCAGAATCCCCCCAAAGTCAAGATAGGGAGAATGATTGGAGATTATAACCTTAGATCCTCTGATTTCTAACATGCAGTTTGACACAAAATCTGGGGATGACTCAACAGATATTGAAAAAATTATCTTCCCTTTCAGTGAACTACACACTTTCCCTGGGTACATGTATAGAAAGTTGTTTGTAAATGGTTGTAAAAGCTAAGGCAAATGAATGTCCTCCCAAGAGCGAATAACTTTGTACTCTCACATATGCATACAGTTTACTTATAAGGCTAAATGTTGTTAAGTCCTAAGGAAACTATATTGTGAATAGACTTGTTGTGGTTTGCATCTAGATGTCCCCCAAAGCCTCATGCACTCATAGATGGGGGTTTTTCAGGCATGGCTGGATCTACGGTGTGTGATGCTGGGATCAAGGATGTGACACTGACATTGACTCATAGAGCACTGCTAGAGGATTAAGGCTGCCCCACCCTGGGTGTAAATGCTACCTGCCTTAAGGGTGGATAGCATGGATAAGATAGGAGACAGAAATAGGGTCACTGCTTGTTGCTTGCTACTTTAGTGCTTTGCTGCCTTCTGCTGCCATGAACTTTTTCTCCTCTGCTATGCCTCTCTGCCATGCCTCCGTGCCTTGAAGCCAGCCAACTATAGACTGAAACTTCTACAAACTGTGAGCCAAATAAACCTTCCATCCTGTAACTTTGGGTGCCAGGTACTCTGTCTCTGCAATGAGAAAAGTAACTAAAACAACATTCTTATTTAACCTTACAGAAATATAAAAACAACCAAAAAATGTTCATAAAGATTTGTTGACAAAAACATATTAGTAATACTCTCAGTCTTATATTTGGATACTATAAATAAGAAGACCATGTGAAAAAAAAGATCCTACATTGCAACTTTGCTGAGAAAAGGCATAATTTTATCCCCAATGTTTTTGATATAAGTAGGCAGACCTAAAGATAGCCCAAAGCTATTGACAACCTGTTTCTCTATAAATCTGAATGTTACTTTCTGTTTTGAGATGAGGTCAACATGAGAATTACACAATTTACACTTTGGTTACTTTAACCATAATTTTTAAATATACCATAAAATCTGTGGAGCTGAAAACAGAAAGATCTTATAATCCTTAATCATAACACTGAAAAGTTCACTAAAAGGCATTTTTCTTGTGTCTACCAGAAAAAGATAGATATATAATATGATTCCACTTTAGAGGAACTCTTTCTAGCAAAGGCTATTGTTTCCTATATATTTTCCATAGGTAAGTTTTGCTTTTAAACTTTTTTTATTTATTTATTTTTTGTCTTTTTGAGACAGGGTCTCACTATGCAGTTCAGGTTGGCCTTGAGCTCACTTTGTAGCCCGGGCTGGTCTCAAACTCACAACAATCCTCCTGCCTCAGGCTTTCAAGTACTGGGATTACAGGCATGCACCACCAAGCCTGGCTAGCTTTTAAACTTTAATATTTAAATGAACCATGAAACCCAGGAAGGCTTGTACTGGATTTGTACATCCTTGTATCAAGGATGATTTGGCCCCTCATCCACCCAAGAATATTTGGAAATGTCTGTAGATATTTTGGGCTGTCAGAGCTGGGAGAGAAGTTGTAGTGCTAGGGGCGTCTAATCAGTAAAGACAAAGGATATCACAAACATCCTAGTGGACACAGAACAGCAGCAACAGCTGGATCCCCAATTCAATAGTATTGAGGCTGAGAAACTCTGACCTTGTGTTATAAAAGGGATTAATTGTATTTACATTTCTCAGATTAGATTTGGAGTTCTGGCTAGAGTACACATATGAAGAATTCTTCTGCTATCATATCCATTCCTAAACTTAATTATTACTTTAAGTATGTTTTCATTCTAATGCTTTAGAAGGTAAAAATGTGATTGCATTTTTAAATGTTCTAAGTTTTCATGTGGTTTGTATTTTATACTATGAAGCACTCATTTTTTCACAATTCTGAATCAGAGCATAATGATATCTTTCAGATCAAAAGGGAAACAACAACAAAAAAATGCTCAAGACTTTTCTAATTGTTCTCCTCTGCTGTAAATCACAATCAGAATTGTCTTTAGCTGTGACATGTATTTCTGTATTGTTTTACAATTTGATGTATTATGCTAGGTCATGTCCATAATGTTAGCCAGTTGTATCCAAAGAACAACTAAGGGAGTTGGTCATTCACAGCAACTGTGGTTTACAGTGATAAGAAACACAGCCCTAGTTGACATGTTTTCATACCACCACGGCAGCCAAGTGGTGAAACTGTGATTAAACAAACTAAACATTGTGGGCTCATTTAATCTCTGTGACAGTGACACAGACAGCACTTTCACATTTATTTTAACCATAGCCAAAACACATTTGCTCCTTTTCAGATAATTTCCCTGGTCAAAAAAGCTTAAATTTTTAATCTAGGTCAAGTGGTGATAAAAGTAAAAAAAAAGAGTAACATGAGAATGCATTGCCCTCTGTTGCACTCTATACTGGGGGATCTGGAATTTACTAAATGAAGTCAAGGAAGAAAATAAATAAGGTAAAACCCAGAACTTCAGACTCAATGATTTAGAGAGCCATGTTAGATTATTTTCCAGAAATAGGAATAAGCAAAAATTTGACTTGAATCTACAACATTCTAGCAAGGTAGCTATGAAATGATTTTTAAAGTGGGCTTTCACAATAATGAATAGAAACTTTTTTTGCCACAATGGAGTTTGAACCTAGGACTTTCATGCTGAACTATATCCCTAGACATATTATTTTTATTTTTATTTTTATTTTTTATTTTGAGACAGGGTCTCACTAAGTTGGGCAGTTGCCCAGGCTTTTCTCACAGTTGCAATCCTGCAGATACCCTATTAAAATCTGAATATGTTGTTGAGTTTGTGTTAAGATTTGTGCATGTAAATCTTTCACAAAATGATTTGAAATATGTCTGTGACCATATTTATGCTCAAAACAACTTTGGATCCTTTGTACTTCGTGTGCACTGTGACACACAAAATAACAAATCATTTCACACTCAGTAGGGAAAAGAAATTTCGCATATAGAATCATATCTTTTCCAAATTGGTAGAGATAACATGGACTGGTTCTCACATTATTTCCTCATCTTTTAAACATTGGTCCTGATAGTCAAAATCAATAAAGTTCAAAACCTAACCAGACATCTGTATTGTAAGCCTGATAATTCAAGAGCCTCTGAGCTAGGCTGATAATGATGATTTTCTTTAAATGTCCATCTCCCTCCCATCACTGTCACTGACTGGTCTCATTTTTATCCTGAAAGACAAGTTTGTTTCATCTCCTTACGCTACAGCACAACACTTGTAGAGTAAGCTGCAGCTCAAGATACGTGAGCTGACCTTTTTAAGCTCCCAAGAGCAAACCAGAGGCATCCAAGTATCACTGAAAGAAACTCAGAAACAACACGATGCACTGTACCTTGTAGAGCGTGGCTGTACCTTGTAGAAACGTTTTCTGGATACCACATAAACTTTTCCTTCCTTTTCAGGATTGGTTAGACAATAATCATCTCCTACTAAAACAAAAAGCAATTTTGGAGAATAATTATATTAACTCAGTTTTATCAGCAACCTATTATTTGCAACTACCATTCAGCCCTCATAACAATCATATAAATGTCATTATAAGTACCATTCTGTGTGTGTGTGTGTGTGCGTGTGTGTGAGTGTGCGTGCGTGTGTGTGTGTGTGTGTGTGTGTGTGAGAGAGAGAGAGAGAGAGAGAGAGATGCTGTTGTTGTTATTATTGTTGTTGTTGCTGTTGCTGCTGCTGCTGCTGCTGCTGCTGGGGGTTGAACCCCGGCCTTTGGGCATGCTATTCAAGCACTCTACTACTGAGATATATCTCCAGCCCATATTAGTATTATTAATGCAGTTTCTTTGCTAAAGCAAAAATAAGGGCTTAAGATTAGAAGACCTGAGACTAAATTTTCTTTGTCTTTTCTGTGTAAATTCAAGCAAAATATCTTTGCCTCTCTGAGGATCTGTCTTCTCATCAATAAAGTTGACCTAAAATAGATCTATCACAGAGTTACCAAGAGAACTACACCAAATAAGTGAGTGTGTCCTAGGTGGTGCTCACAACACTGTCTTCAATCCCATTTTTAAAGTGGGATTGACCAGCTTGGTTTGATCTATTTTTTTTTTTAATGAAGACATGATGACTCACAGGAGTCAGGAGGTTCACCCAAGGGCACACAGAAAAGAATTTTAAACCCTTCTACTAGACATTTGAGGCCAACCAGACTCCTCCTGTCCCTACCTAGACTGTCAGAGGCAAAGTGCTTTTTTCCAAAATGCAAGTAGGACTGGTGGCTGACAGCTTGCAGCTCTCTCAGGAAAGTGCATTAGGCCCAAGGGATCTGCATTGTCCAGGGTTATGCACCCTGCCCAGACCCATCTCTGAAATGCACAGAAACCTAGTCCTGTTGCCTCAAATGTGGGTAACACCAAAAGTCCTTCACAGTGCAGAAGTCCCTCTAGAATCAACAGACGGAAACTCCACCTCTCCCTCTTCCCAGCCTGCTTTCTCCTGATCCCTAGAGCATGTCCCAGGAAACTCCCTCTCATGAATCTCCATCTCCACTTCCCAGAAACTAGGTTTCATGCAATTTCCTGACTCCAAATTCCATATTCTCGGCACAA